GGTTCCTCTCTGCCCAACTCTCCAGCCTGTCCAGGTCTCACTGAATGGCAGCACAGCCTTCTGGTGTATCTACCACTCCTCCCAGTTTTGTGTCACCCTCACTGACCTCGTGGTCTGTGCGGTGCCCGCTCAGCGTTGCTGTTATGCATCGAGTCTCCTGTAACGGAGGGAAAGCTCGCACAGCTGATGTGTAAAACCGCGTATCTCGTCAATGGACGATGCACCAGTTAGTTAAACATAATTTTTTAATGCTGTCTAGTTGCCTTCAAGTATGCTTTCTTCAGGTTTTATTTTCATTCCCGACTGGCTGCTGCGATGGAAGAATGGAAATGAATAGTGGGTTTTGCTCTTCCTTGTAGAGTTTTGCTCTTCCTTGGCAAACAAAAAAAATAGAAAAAAAAAAAAAAAAAACAGATAAAAGCAGAGGTGTCTGGCCTTCTTTCCAAAATGTCCCATGAAAAGTGAAAAGCCTGTTGCTGCTGTACCAAATAGAAACGCTGATTTCCATGTTACCGTGAGATGCAGTTGTCCCATTTTAAAAAAGCCGAAGACGCCACTGACTTCTCTGCGCTGCGGAAGGGGTCTGTCTCAAGCTGCTTTGACAACAGCAAGCGATGAAAAGAAGTTGTCCCTACTGCATTTCTTTCTTACATACTTGAACTAACAGTGGTATTCTCAGGTGTAAGGATCGCGCTGTGAACATCAGCGGTGTGTTCAAGCCGGTACGCAGCCCTCCCCATTTTCTGTCTCGGGGAACGGCAGCGAGTCGCCGTTTGCCTCAGAGACCAAAAGCCCACCCGGCGCATCGCACGTCGGTCTCAGCTGACGGATGCGGCGCGTTCGCACGCCTGGTTTGGCTGTTGACCTATTTGTATCTACACCTTACCCACAGCTGGAAAAACGACAGAAAGGACAGTTTCGTTCACTTCTGCTACATCTTCGCATTTACTGAGTGGGATGTGTAATGTAAATATCAGTAGAGTCATTTATAGCGGATATTAAGCTTGGAAAGCTAAAGCAGCAAACCATTTTCAGCTTTGATAAGCATTGCGATTTTCTGGTAATCACAAATAAGCATAAATGAAGTTTGCATGTCTTCAGTGCTTCGAGAAAGACATGTTTGTGTTCTCAACCTGCCAAGCAACTCCGTCATACCCTCCTCCTCCTCCACTTCCACTGATCTCGGGAGCGGGTCTCAGACTGCTTGCCAGTATTTAAAAACACTGTGACCTGAGGAGCAATCAGGAAGTTACTCTTATCAGTATAGCTTTATCTTTGTCTTAATACTTTTGAAAGTCCTTAACGTCCAAGAGCAGTTGAAAAAAAAGACAAAGCCAGCATTTTTCAGTTCTAGCATTTCTTCTTTTAATTTTCATACTCTTTTGCTGCACACACCTATTTTTGTTACCATGTCTGTGACTTACTGACCAGCTGAGTTCTTTTGGGGTTTTTTTTGCCACAATCTTTAGAGATACCTTTCCTCTAATGCCTTCCACAATGTTGCTTGCACCTTGACTACCCCCCCTGCGCTTCCTTGTGGCAGGAGTCCAGAAAAGCTTAGGAAATGCTTTCGCTATGGAGTTCTGTACAGAGTCTCCTCTGTTGCCTTGTGCAACAAGCTAGCTCGTCTTACAAATCAAACAAGAAGCTCTTTCTTGCCTCCCACAAGGCAAATGACAAGCTGCAACAGTCATCTGTGGCTCATGCTATTTGAACACATGACTGCATGCTGATAAAGGCACTATCAAATACTTCATCATTAAAGCAGCACTTGTTTTTGCATGCACTTCAGAGACTTCTCCACACTGCTTCCTTTTTTCCTCATCAGCAAGTGAAAGTTTGATTCAGGCTTTAAATACTGTCTGGGCAAAATTGCATTTTGCAATACCGCAACTATAATTATTTTCAATATTAGCTGAGACTACAACGTACAAATGCAATTCTGACAAGACCTGAGTATCCTCACGTCTCCAGAAAATGCCTGGAGACTTGGGGCTTGTCTTTACTGTAACGAGCTTGTCAGCAGACGATAGTACTTTTGCCCACAAAGTGACATGTAGATGTCACACTTTCATTTTAGAGTCCTGGATCTGTATTTAATTACCTAAACAAGTATCAGAAGCGTTCGTTACATCTTCAAAATATTTTCCTTTTTTTGTTGCCTTTTTTTTTTTTTTGAAAACCAGCCACAAGCTTTACTACAAATTAAAAGGGAAGATGAAGGCTTCCTAACAGTACCCATGGAAAATGTGAGTCATTAAAGAAATATTTTCTGCACAGAAATTCATAGAAATGAGGCTACAGGGGGGCTTTTCCCTCTGGGCTCTCAGAAGCAGGCAGTGACACTGCTGCTGGAGGTTTGTCTTCTGCGTAGTTTCAATTTTATCTGAACTTTTATATAGGTCAGATAAGGGTATTTTTTTTCTTCAGGTATTTGTGTTTCTAAAGCAGAATTATTAGGTACCTCAGGACAGCTGTTGTGGCACTCTGTGTCACAGCTGGATGTATATAGGTAGCAGTTAAACGATATATGGAGCCTGTCAGGAAAGGATACACATAATATGTTTTGTTTTATTTCCTGCTATTGATGATAAACATTATGACATGGAAAGAGTTCTTATTTTAAAACAGACCATTTTTCCTTATTTCCCAAGCGCCCGGTCTACTGAAGTCAATAGGAAAGCTTTCCTTGCTTTCAGTGGGATTTCAATCAAGCCCTAACACAGCAAGTAAAATGTTCCCAGACTTACAGCTCTGGTTCTAAAAACCAAATAAAAAAGAGAAAATAATTCTGAGAAGAAAGAAATATGAATGCTAAGCAGAGCTTTAAATAGCAGTCTGTCAAGGAGGAGCATGAAACATAGCTTTCAATGGCAAATAAGACAGCCCCTTGCAGAATACTGGCAGAGAGCAGTTAAACCAAAAGGGAGGTTTGAGTGCTCATTATTTTTGAGACATATTTTGACAATCTCCGAGAGACGACTTGCTCAGGCTCAGAGAACCCATCGTCCCTCGGCAGTCTGTGGGGTACACCTTCCAACAGCAACTACCGCTTAGGGCAAGCTGATGAGTGTAAAGTTTTCATGAAAATGTGCCAGTTACAGTATGGAGAGACCACCCTTAGTGTTTCTTGACTATATACAGTCTGTGAACACAGGCTTGATACAGTCTGTCTCATTCTGTTACAAGCTCTTAGTTGGTCTCTGCCCAGAGGAGGAAAAAACGAACAGCTTATGTGATAAGGCCTCGGGAGCTAAAGGCTGTTAACACGTTTTATCAGCAGTATTGATTTCTGAGCGTTCAGAAGAAGGAAACACAGCCCAAGGAGAAATCAGCTGCCTGAAGAGGAGCAATCCCTGCCACTTCCCACAGGCAGAAGAAAGCAAAAGAAACTGTATTATTTGGAACATAAGGAAATCCCAACTACCCCCCACCGAGATGGCAGGAGCGTGCTCTTGCCGGGTGCCAGCACGGTGCCTTTGGTGAAGGGAAGCACGCGCTCGCCACACAG